CACGCAACTCCTGCTCCTTCCACCTAAAAAAAAAAGTCATGAGACAAAGAAGTTCCCAAGAAAAAAAATTTGACAATTAAGTTAATTAATTGAGCTGATGACCCACCAAGCCAATTTGTTTGGGAACAGGACACCGAAATAACTTGATTACTATGTTACAAACAGACAATTCTCTAAGTAGGGGACAAAATTTGTTTGTGTGAGAATTGCAAAGTATAGGGAGTTGTGTACACATGTATATTACATCTGTCTCCCTTCTACCTTCTCGACAAAAATACAACTGTGAAATGTGGTGGGACAAATGAAGAAAGTGGGCTGGGCTTCTCATTATTAAGGGGAAAAGCAAAACATACAAAAATTATAGAGATCTAGTACAGGAAACTTCCATTATATCAGGCATGTTAAAAAATGGCAATAGTTGTGAACTGAGCACAAGCATCGCATGAGAATAAAATCCCCTTGCACAATCAAATTAGAGAAAGCTACAACATAAAATACAGTTTACAAATCTAATAGAAAGAACATTTTCAAAAAAGAGAGGGGGAAAAACGCATACATTGTATTACTATACTGTATAAGGAAAGACAAATTAAAATACATCCATTTTATCAGAATGATAAACTTTATGTAAAACCAGTCTGCAAAGTGTACAGGCAGAAATATATATATTATATATATATACGGTAGGCCTATCTGTTTTATCTGTTTGGAAGAGACAATATAAAGACAATGGTGACCTCTTGTCCATTTTGAATGCAAATAGATCTACATCATGTAGGCCTACATGATGAAAAAGAATCACAAAAGAAATAAGAAATCATATGTCTGTGTTATAATAATGTCAGCCGCACTTCGTACTGTTGTACTGCCAGCTTCATGCACATCTCAAGAAAGGTGTTGTAACGAGGTTTGACTGTATCTCCCTTGATAGTCTGATTTTTTTACAAAGTGCTGTCCGTACAATGAAAAGATTTCCTCATCCTGTAGATTTTGCTATATATGTGAATGCTTTTAACTATGTAACTATATGTATATCAGTATCAATATATATAGGTCTACCATATAATATCATGTACCTCTTTCTAATGCGTGAGAAAGTACGTAAAATATTTAAAAAATACACAAAAGCTGGACTCTACTTGGATTTTATCAATCATGAGACATACACAAATTAAATTCAAAAGAAATCTAGATTTGACAGTCTTGAGACTCAGCAAAATTGAAAATCAGTACTACAAACTTAAAAATGAAAGTTCCATTTATGCTAAAGCTGCTACTCCTTTAATTGAGGGAAATAATTATAATGTTGCACCACAAACTTCACATTGTAAGTTGTTTTTTTGTTCATCAGTGTGTTCTTTTGTGATTCTCTAGAATGGCACTGTGTGAGAATTAGACTGACTTCACATATGAAACATCGCACCACAAATTTCATACAGTGACACTTGGAAATGAAGACATCAGGCCTGATTTTCAGTTTCGTTGAATTCGAGTGTTAGTTTTAATGGTTTATAGCAATATAGAGCAACAAATTGCATTACAATATACATATATATAGAGCCTAGCTTACGGAAACGTTAGCTTCCACAGACCAGAGCTCACTTCAATACTTTTAATCTACGTCTACTAAGCTAGGCCAAGCCTATCATTATTATTACTATTAACATGTTTGGTAGCCTGGAAAAAAATGGGTGGGAGTATGATTGTGACGTGTATGTATACACGTAGGCTAATTCTGCTGATGTTCCACACCCGAAACACTTGTGCCTACGCCCCCCCCCCCCCCCCCCCCCCCCCACTCCCACTAGACACTCGCATTAAATGATGATGTTGAAAGAAGGCGAACTGCTTGGTCGCATAAGATGTACGTAATAGGCTACACCTACGCGTGTAATGATCCACGGTGCAGGTACAATCGATGGTCTCTTGGAATACAGCAGAGAGATATAATAAGCTTGTTTGCAGGAGAAAAATGCGAGAAGCCACAGGAGTGGGGGCTGTTTGGCTGGCAAGCGGCTTTGTTGAGTCCAAGTTTGCTCATTTACTTGTTTTTTTAACCCAAGTGATTTTGTTGATTTTAGTTAACACCAGACACACACGCACAGTCACACATGTGCTGGCCATCCGTCCGACTCCAACATACATTACGTGCTAACAATATGTGTTTTGGAATGAAAGAATGCCACTGATTGGTTGCATAGTATATCATGATATTATATTATTATAAACAATGGGCTCTAAGTCTAGTGAATAATGGTTCACGACGCATGCAGGTGCCATAGGTAGTTTCCAGGAATCAATAATAATACTAAATCCTTTCCCACAAACTTCACACTTGTAAGGTTTTTCTGCCGTGTGTGTTCTTTTGTGGCCGTGTAGACTCAAAAACTATAGTGCAAATGCTGCACCGCAAACTACACTTGTATAGGGTTTTTCTCCTGTGTGTGTTCTTTTGTTCATCTGTAGGCTATTATTTCATGCAAACTTTTTACCACAAACTTCACAATTGTAGAATTTTTCGCCCTGTGTGTATTCTTTCATTAGGTACCACAAGGTAACCACTTCTTCTAAAAATCTTTCTCCACAAACTTCACACTTGTAAGGTTTTTGTCTGGTGTCAGTGTTTTCTTTTTTTATGTACTGTTAGGTTACTCTTTTCTGCAAATACTTTACCACAAATTTCACACGTGTAAGGTTTTTCTCCTGTGTGTGTTCTTTTGTGACACTGTAGAGACTTACCACATGCAAATGTGGAACCACAAACTTCACACTTGTAAGGTTTTTCTCCTGTGTGTATTCTTTCATGTACCACAAGGTTGTACTACTAATTCTAAATCTTTCACCACAAATTTCACACTTATTTATAAGGTTTTTCTCCAGTATGCATTCTTTTATGTCTTGATAGGTTACTCTTTTCTGCAAATACTTTACCACAAACTTCACACTTGTAAGGTTTTACTCCTGTGTGTGTTCTTTTATGTAACAGTAGATGACCATGTTGTGCAAACTGTTTACCACAAACTTCACACTTGTAAGGTTTTTCTCCTGTGTGTGTTCTTTTGTGTGTCCGTAGGTATTCAATTCGTGCAAACTGTTTACCGCAAACTTCACACTTGTAAGGTTTTTCTCCGGTGTGTATTCTTTTATGTTTCAATAGGTTAACACTTACTGTAAATCCTTTACCACAAACTTCACATGTGTAAGGTTTTTCTCCCATGTGTTTTCTTTTGTGGCTGTGTAGACTCCGACTACATGCAAATGCAGCATCACAAACTTTACATTTGTAAGGTCTTTCTCCTGTATGTGCTCTTTTATGTACCAACAGGCCATCACTATTCGTAAATCCTATACCACAAATTTCACAACCGTACGGTTTTTCTCCAGTGTGCGTTCTTTTGTGGCGCTGTAGAGTCAAACCATGTGCAAATGTGGCACCACAAACTTCACACTTGTAAGGTTTTTCTCCTGTGTGTGTTCTTTTGTGTACCACTAGGTTTTCACGTCGTTTAAACTGTTTACCGCAAACTTCACACTTGTACGGTTTTTCTCCGCTGTGTACTCTTTCATGAGACAATAGATTACGACTTTCTGTAAATCCTTTACCACAAACTTCACAGGTGTAAGGTTTTTCTCCCGTGTGTGTCATTCTGTGGCTCTGTAGACTCATCCTATATGCAAATGCAGCACCACAAACCTCACATTTGTACGGTTTTTCTTCTGTGTGTGCTCTTTTATGTTGCAGTAGGATGTCACTTTCTGTCAATCTATCACCACAAACACTGGCTTGTTTAAACGTTGCACCACAAACTTCACACCCGTAAGTTTTGTATGTTTTTCCACCTGTGTGGGTTCTTTTATGTTTCAGTAGATAACCGCTTTTTGTAAGCTTCTCACCACAAACTTCACACCCATAACCCTTTTCTCCTGTGTGTTTTCTTTTGTGACTCTCCAACACACTGGCTTCTGTGAGGTTTGCATCACAAACTTCACACTGGGAAAGCTTTTCTCTTGTGTGCATATTTATGTGTCTTTGCAGGATGTCTATCTGCGCGAAAGTCGCACCACAATCTTCACACTTGTAAGGTTTTTCTCCCGTGAGTGTTCTTTTAGGTCCCAGTAGACTTCCACTTTTTGTAAACTTTTCATTTTCACCACAAACTTTACACTTGAAAGGGTTTTCTTCTGAGTATGTAGGCCTACTTTCCTTAGTCATAGGCCTGGGTCCATATGGGCAGCCAGTGTCTGTCTCTTTATTGTACACTTTTGGGTCTGTGGTTCTAGAAGAAGACTCAGGAACATTTACCAACCTGGTAATAGATACAACACATGAAAAGTTAAAATCAGATACTTGTTTCCTAATGACAGAGCCAGAATTTGAGACATATTCCAGGAAAACTGGATTGGCAGGAGAGAAAGTTGAAGGTTTTTCTCCTGTGTGAGTTCTTTTATGTATCAGTAGTTGACCATTTTGAGCAAACAGTTTACCACAAACTTCACACCTGTAAGGTCTTTCTCCTGTGTGTACTCTTTTATGTACCACAAGTTGACCTCTTCTTCTAAATCTTTGAGCACAAACTTCACACTTGTAAGGTTTTTCTCCCGTGTGTGTTCTTTTGTGGTACTGTAGACCAAAACTATGTGCATATGCTGCACCACAAACTTCACACTTGTAAGGTTTTTCTCCAGTGTGTGTTCTTTTGTGAGTCAGTAGGTTACTATTTTGTGCAAATGCTGCACCACAAACTTCACACTTGTAAGGTTTTTCTCCAGTGTGTGTTCTTTTGTGAGTCAGTAGGTTACTATTTTGTGCAAACTGTTTACTACAAACTTCACATTTGTAAGTTTTTTTCCCTGTGGTTCTAGAAGACTCGGGAACATTTACCAACCTCGTAATAGATACAACACAAGAAAAGTTGAAATCAGATACTTGTTTTCTAATAACAGAGCCAGAATTTGAGACATAGTCCAGGAAAACTTGATTGGCAGAGAAAGTAGAAGTTGGACTACTAGATGCAACAACATCAGTGTCTGGGTTGGAACTCTGCTCCATACACAAACTCCTCAAATTGGAGGTTTGCTGCTGTAGTCTTCCAGTCTGACTGATATGATCCTCAACAAACATACGCTCTGCACAAATCTTCTCTACATCTCCCACTTGTCCTTCTGTCTTTCCTATCTCTCCAAAGTCTGGACAGTCCCATTTTGATATTTCCTCTTTCACAAAATTCTCCACTTTTCGTTTCACATCATCACCACCATCAAGAAATTGTTCAAATAGTGGTTCAGTCTTCACCATATCAATATCTGTAAGGCACTCTGGTTTAATGACACGTTTTATCTTTTCCTGCTCCGCGAACAAAGAGACAGGCTCATCTTTTACTGTGATGCATCTGTTTTCAACGTCTGGTTCATCATTTCCCTCTGCCTTGACATCACACAACCATTCAAAACTGGACTCTTCGTTTATTGGCAAATGTTCCTCTTTAACATCAAGTTTTTGTTTTTTTAGATCAAACAGGAACAAAGAACTGCTTTTCTTATCTTCACAGTTATTCTCCCCACTTGTAATGTCATGTTTCACATCCTCCCTTATAATCAGAGAGCAAGGAGACCTAGAACTTGAACAAGGTTCCCCTTGAAAGACAATGTTATCAACGCCAAGATTCATACCTTCTCCAGAAGAACAAGGAACAACAAATACATTTGTTTTCACACAGCTATTTCCATATAATCAGAGAGATCTCCAGTGATAAGACTAGAAGATCTATTCACTACTGTGTGTGTCTTCTTCAGAGTTACGACGTTCATTTGTTTTGTTGGGTAGGAAATGTCAGCCATATTTAATGCAGTCACATTTCATAACAGCATCTCCAAACTGTACACAGAATTATACTGATTAACGCATAAACATTTCTATGAGGACGACAAGAAATGTTCATTTCGTGCTCCAAATCGGGTGAAGCAGAAAGCACGTTCGGAGCACAGGGCGGCATAGGGTAGCGGCCTCTCGTCTCGGCTTGGGCGCTAGGACAAGGACCTCAGATAACCTTCTTGGTTCGTTATTGAATAGCCTAGTAACCACGTTTGGGAAAAGGAACAGTAGGCCTATTCAGAAAGAGACAGAGAGAGAGAGAAGAGGGGAGGAGTTGATCTTGCGAGAACTTCCGGGCGGGTGAGAATAGCCACTTTCTTTGTAGGCCTATTTTGTTCGCCTTTGTTGTTTATGAACGATCAAAAAATGTGAAGAGCATACCACAGTTGCAGCAGTCTACTGGAGAAACGAGAGGATCAAAGATCTGGATCTCGTTGTTGTTGGGCTTCGGCCGAGATGAGCTTATCTCTATTCAATCATAATTATATCGCTCGTCTCGGCTTGGGCGCTAGGACAAGGACCTCAGATAACCTTCTTGGTTCGTTATTGAATAGCCTAGTAATAGTAACCACGTTTGGGAAAAGGAACACTCCGAACACAACTAAGATCTGTAAAAGATCTAAGGCCCAGTGCCTAGGCCTAGATCTACCTTTCATTCAATCATTATTCCCGTGAGTCTCGCCACGCAACGTGGAGGGGAGCAATGTGGCAATGTGCCAGAGGAAGGGCAATTATACCACTGGATTTGCATCAATACCAAAGTGTGTCCAGCTTCGACCCCTTCGCCTTCTGTGAGTCACCAATGAAGCTGTTGTTTTGCTTCATTTGCTTTTTTTCTGCTTCCTTGAAGAGGCGTCTTGTGGGGTGGGGCTTGCAGCTTTAGCCCCACCTGGTTTACTTCACTAAAAAAGTTACTTCTCTGACTAAAATCAAAACAGCACATTTCACAAAATTTTTAACGTTTTTTTTAATATTAGAGGGTTTTACGGCGCTCGCAACTGCATAAGGTCATATGAGCGCCAAGGGGTGGGTGTCAACAGAAAAGTCTTTACAGGGAATCAGACTTAGACTGCTCACTTCTCTAGCTTCAACAGCACAAGGTCTGCTTCGACTATCAAGGCACCCCGGAAATAGCAGGTCACAAGAGAGTGACAAACATACAAAAGAAGTAGAGAAAAATGACAATAGTAAGGATCAGGAAAGAAAAAGCAGCAGTCCCCTGTTGTAGATCAGGCACAGTTATGAGCGTGACAAGAGTCAGCCCATTTACAATTCTACTATGCTTGAACGAGAAATGTCCCCCCTTTGGGAATGGCCTTAAGACACTACAGTCAGGGGCACTGCCCCGGGGGGGGGGGGGGGGGGGGGGGGGGGGTTAAGGGATGAAACATAAAAATGTATTCCAATAAAAAGTGAAACTCCATGAACATCCAAACAAAACTCCTGAAGCACAACTCGAAAAGTGATCTGATTTGTCTGTGTGTCTACTACTATTTACTATGACTGTAGCTCCGTCCAATCAGGCACTTTTTCTGTCTAAGACCTTTAGGATATTTTGCCTAAGCCGGTCTGTTCTTTTACCTTTGACATTCAGAACGTACATGATTTTATATCTTCTTTCAACTTGACTCCTCATCAGGCATTTGGGACCTTATTATTTCTTTGCCCATCCAGAAAAATAGTCCTTAATCCCATCCTCATTAGGATTCAAGATTTGAAAGGCATGAGAAAACAGCAACAAAAGAAAGCATCCTTCAACTGTGTCTGCAAAACCTAAAAACTGAAGCAGGTATAAATAAAGACAAGCAGCATTTCTTAGTGCAAATTCCCTCTCAACAGCAAGCTATACGTGCTTTACAATCTATCATTACCTCAGCAGACCTTGATAGTATTCTGAAACAATCTCATCTTCCTGGGAAGCAGACCGTACCAACTGCCCTTCTACAGGCTCTAAAGCACTAACATGTGAACAAGATCTTTCGCTGTCTAAGGCCAGATACCCATTCTTACCACCTGGGTGAAGTAAGAAACATTCGTGTAAAGTATTTTTCCCACGGACACAACTTCAAGTCTGAGACTAGAATGCTTGAACCCGCAACCTCACGATTACAAGTCCAGTAATCTAACCACTAGACTACTGACCAAATAAAAATTGCATTTAAACACTCAGAAACATTCTCTGCTTCCAGGTAAGAATACAGTGCAAGCAGTCGATTAGGCACTCAAACACAAACTGACAAGATCTTTTGCTATCTACAGCTGGGTACCCATTCCCAAGTGAGGGAAGTGAGGAAAATTCTCGAAAAGTGCTTTCCCCAAGGACATGTCGGGCCACTAATGGGGTCCAAACACACAACCTTTCGATTGTAAGTCAAACAGCCTTATCACTAGACCATTGAGGCTGCATGTCTCATTACCATATCACACACGTGTACCCAACAGACAGAAACAACACAAAAGAAGAAAAGTAGGACAAACCAGTGGTGCGCTGCAACACCAGCAATTATACAGCAATGGTTCAGATAACGGCGATTTAAAAAAAAAAACACACAGAAAAGTTGATGAGACATATAAATTGTTTATTATGTAATAGTTAAAAAGATTTCAACATAGATGACAAAATTTAAAGAAAAATAAAAGGAAGAAAAATAACTTCTAAAACAAAACATAAGCATTGTATGCCCCCCAAAATTGGCTACAGTACATCAAGTTTGCTGTCTCAGACTATAAGTTCACACAAAATAAATTCAAACTTGTCACACAGACTATATATATTTGGTTCTTGAAAGACAATACATGAATCAATTACAGGCATGGAAATCCAATTTGATGCATGAAGTTTTGTCACTGAACATTCTCTACACAACCATTTACAATTCATTGAATGACCTAATACAGAAAGCTAGTATGACCTGGCTTAACAACTGATTATGAATATATGTATATATATATGGAGTAGAAAAAAACAAACTGCGTGAATGTAGGACAGAAATTGAAGCACACAGCACAAACCCACCCAACACGAAAAGATAGGAAATGACACACAACCCCCCACCCCCCCCCAAAAAAAACCAACAAACAAAAAAACCCCCAAAAAACAATATTGTAATAAAAAACCAACAAAAAGAACGCCTTCTCCACTCCACCCACCCTTAAAAAAAACCTCCCTTCCAATTCTTACAACATTTGGAATAACCTTTGGAGAAAGTCTTACTGTAAAAGCTATTTTATTCATTTTGCAGACTGTACCACTGTAGGTTAATAGAACAAAAGCCTACTCATCTTAAGTGACCCCCGATAACCCCCACCTCCCCAAAGTATCTTCTGTTTTATGGTTTGGTAATAGATCTAGTTTTACGGCACTTGCAACACAATAAGGTTATACAGTGGAACTCGGATTCAACAAGGTTGCCGGGTCTGACCTAAAATCTCATTGAGGTTTTGCATAGGTAATTACAGGCACTGAGCAAGTAAGGTATAAAGAGAAGTAACAAGTGGTGCCTGAAATGCCTGCATATTATGAGCAGTGGAAAAAAAAAAAGACCAATTCGTTCAGATGCATGCCTGTGTCATCTCGATTGCTTGCAGAAAAGTTGTGTTGCTGTGTAGAGCCTAGCATACAGCAACTTTAAAATTTGATACCATAGACCAGCACACACTTCATTACGTAGATCTACGTCAAGACTAGCTTATCATAGTAACTGATCAGTTGCTGGGGGGGAAAAAGACTGTGACGCGTTTGTATCTGCAACGTTCCACGTCTGGACTGCTGGTGCCCCCCCCCCTCCCCCGCACACATAGTCACACGTGTGCAGGCCGCCTATCCGACCCCAACATACGCTAAAATAGACACGTGTGCGTGCCACCAACACATGTGTTGTTATGAAAGAAAATCGCTGATTGGTCGCATCCAATTGGCTAAGTCAATAATGGTTCACGATGCAGGTGCAATCCATGGTTTCCGGGAAGAGATAAAGTTCGTCGTGGGAGAAAAATGAGCAAAGCCGCATCTGCGGGGGGTGTTCACCTTGGAAGCGACGTCGTTGAATCCGAGCTTTCTGATTTAAGTATTCGTTGAATCCGGGTCATTGTTATTGATTTTAAAGAAGGAAAAAAAACGGGGAACCCATCTTCTCGTTGAATCAGAGTTCTCGTTGAATCCGAGTTCCACTGTATAACTTGTGCCGAAAAACGATCTTTAAATAAAAAGGTGAACTGAAAGAAAAAATTAAGATAAAGACAACTAAAAATATCAAGTGCTCAGTGTAACACACCGCCATACAGGTACATCATTTTGAAAAGTGACGTATAATGAGTCTTACACTGAGCAGTCAATATTCAGCTCCAAACTCCGAACAAGAAGCTAAAAGCAGCTACATATAATATGCCATGTTAACTTCAGCAGTGAGAGTGAGAGAGTCTTTACGATACACAACAACCAGTTGATCAACACTTGATAAACCATAAGCTGCTATGCTTGTATTCAGAACTTCTTATTAAAACTCACCCAATACTTCAGTGAAGAATGAAGACTTGCTCAGAGTTTAAAAAAAAATATATTATTACAAATGAGCACGGTACAGGTGCAGAAATGAATGGCTTCATTAGCAGAATATTCCGCCTGAACTTAAAGTAGATGCTTTCCTTACTGGGAACAACCTCCCCCATCAAGGCTATCATGTACACGCTACCACTACCAGGGTCAAGTATACAGGAACCCATGCCTGGGGCATAAATAAGTCTGAGCCAACAGGTAATAACACACTTGTTGTGATGCTTGGTAACCAAAACAGAAACCTACACAGAAAGACATTGCAAGAAACTACTCTACAGGAGCCAGAGTGCAGATACGCAGAAAACTTTCTGGTAGCTTTGACAAACTAAAGAAAATTGCTCAGTTTGTGTGCACCACCGGATTGACTGTCTGATTCATACAGAACAAAGAAGAAAAAAACATGTGTGCCAACTGGAAAGGCTAATCAACCTTAGGTACTGTCTATGAAATTCATTCTTTTTCAGAAAGAGAAGAATATTTTTGAAAAGAAGAAAATTAATACAATAAGATGGGCATGGGAAATCTAAAATAGGGAACTCGCAACAATTTAAGGGGAAGGAAGCAAAAAAGAAACTGTCATGGCAAATTGGAAATTTGGATGTTTTACTTTTAAAAAGCTGATAAACCTGTCACATGATATCATGTATGAAAACAAAAAAATACTGGACATACCACCAAAAACTGACATAAAAGGAAACTCTGAACTCTTAAACAATATATGGGGGCAGGACAAAACCCAACAGAGAAAGGGGAGGGGGGAGGAGGAGAGCAAGAGAGAGAGAGAGCAGTGCCTCAGAATAAATTACCATTGCAGGCACCACCATAAGAGCCGACACAATGCTCACAACACATTCTTGCTGATATGACAATACATCAAACTTGACTAGACTTTGGTTATACAATGTATAGATTTATAAGAAATTCTGACTAAACAGGTCAAGGTAGGAAACCTGAATCTGCTTAGTTGTGTAGGGAGATATTTACATGATACATTGTAATTGTGTGTAATTTGTCACTTAATGACAGGAAAACAATCAAAACCACCCTACCCCCTTCCCATTTAAAGGTGTGTGTGTGTGTGTGTGTGTGTGTGTGTGTGTGTGTGTGTGTGTGTGTGTGTGTGTGCATATGTGTGTGTTCATAGATGTAAGAAAGCCCCCTCCTTGCTCCACACAACTACTGCTCCTTTCACCTGTCATGAGACAAAGAAACGTTCAAGAAAAAAAATTAAAATCAAAATTTGACAAACTGAGCTGATGACGCAGCCAAATTGTTGGAACAGGACACCTAGATCAGATTACTAACAAAGAGGTAATTCTTTGAAGTAAGGGACAAAATTTGTTTGTTTGAGAATTGCATAGGAGCTGTGTGTGTTACATTTGTCCCCCTTCTGCCTTCTAGACAAAAACACCCAACAGGTGTAAAGTAAAACTGTAAAAGGAGATGGGATAAATCAAGAAAGTGGGCCGGGCCGCTCATTATTCAGGGAAAAGCAAAACATAATAATACAGGAAACGTCCATTTCTCAGACATTTAAAAAAATACCGCAATGGTTTTGAACAGAGCACAAGTAGCGGCGCATAAAAACAAAGCCCCCTTGCACAATCAAATTAGTACAAACTACAATATGAAATGCACTTACTTGGAAATAGAAATGATGATTTCTTCCAAGTGACGATGAGAATGCTTTTCAACTCAACTTGTTACATAGGAAACTGAAACAACTTTTAAAAAAAGAGAGGCAAAAAAAACCCCAAAAAAAACTCAACAAAAAAGAGAAACACGTAAGGAAAGACAAATCAAAAGACATCAATTTTATAGGAGTGATAAACTGTAGGCAAAATCAGTCTGCAAAGCATATAGGCAGAAATATGTGTTTCAAACAGACACTAAGATTTTATCTGTTTGAAAGAAAGAGACACAAACTATGGTGACCCAGTGTCCATTTTGAATGCACATACTTGATATTAAAAAAATCACAAAGAATAAAAGAAATCACTTGTCTGTATATATATATATAAATACATCTCTCTCTATAATGTGTGTGTGTGTGCGCGCATGTGTGTGTGAGTGCATGTGTGTGTGTGTGCATGCGTATGGATGTATATGTGTGTGTGTGAGTGGCATCATAGTGAAATCACACGCTCGTCACACTCAAAATAAGGAAATAATGAAGTTGAAGAAACCGGCTTTGGTTTTTTTTGCCCCATTTTGAGCAATATTTATCTACTTTTTTGTTTTGTTTAATTGCTGAACACTTTTTATGTCCATTCAAAAACACATTTTGTGAGGATTTTACTGAAAAACATTAAGCAAAGGCCAAAGAAGATGTAAATTTGTAGTTTTCAAGAAAACTAAAGCTTTAGAAGTCGTCAAATTTTCTCGCTAAATTTACCTGACACCAGGCCACTCTCACCTCCTTCGACTGCAGAAATCTCAACTTACGTTTTATTTTAAAAAAAAAAAAATTTTCATTAAAAAAACTTGACAAATAAACAAGCTTTAAGATAATATCCACAACTCCATATATATGCCTAAAAAGTGACAAGCGCCAATTCCACAGCATCATGACACATATCTTCAGAAACAGTAAACACACTGATCCGAGTGAGGGAGGGTTAGCATCCAAGCTTCTATGCGTATTATGGTATGCTATACTGACCCACAAAATAATAAGCTACCTGAAAAAGAAGCTCGAGATCACAGAAAAAAAGTTCATACAGGACACAGCAAATATGGAACAGTTTTCTTTTTCAAAAAAAGTTTCAACATAGGTATTTTTGTCTCATACAGCATTCCCAGAGGAGGCTTAGCTGCTCTCCTGAACATATACAGTAAAACATGCATAGGTGGAACATAGAAGACTCGAAATCACACATCCATCGAACTGTGCCTGCGGTCCCGTTTTGTTTTTCTCTTCTTCATCTTTGTAAGACATCCCTGGAACTACCGAGGTCGGTCCCGACTAATTCGAGCTATCCGTGTTATACTGTATTTGTCTCATGCAGCATTCCCAGAGCAGTTTTAGCTGCTCTCCTGAACACATATAGCCTAATTATCTGGCTTGGGAAACCTGGAGGAAGAAATCATACTTTCACATTCTCAAGTTTTACCTTGTAAATTTAAGTGAAACCACACTATTCCGGTTTCGGCCATGGGCTTGGAACACAAATGACACGTCTTCAGATCTGCAAGCTTGATGTGAGTAGACTTTGGACAAACATCATTTTTTAGTTAGTTTAGTAGAGGGTTTTACGGCGCTTGCAACTGCATAAGGTCATATGAGTGCCAAGGGGTGGGTGTCAACAGAGAAGTCTTTACAGGGAATCAGACTTACTCTGCTCACCTCTCAAGCTTCAACAACACAAGGTCTGCTTCGACTATCAAGGCACCCCTAAAATAGCAGGTCACAAGAGAGTGACAAACATACAAAACAAGTAGAGGAAAATGACAATAGTAAGGATGAGGAAAGAAAAAGCAGCAGTTCCCTGCTGCAGATCAGGCACAGTTATGAGCGTGACATGATGAATCAGCCCATTTACAATTCTACTGTGCTTGAACGAGAAATGTCCCCCCTTTGGGAATGGCCTAAAGACACTAGTCAGTGGCACTGCCCCGGGGGGTAAACATCATTTTGATATATGCACTGGTGAAAGGGCTCGGGTAGAAAATGGCCAACATGCAAACCCAGCCAGCGCTGTTGTTATTCTTCTAACCCTTTTGAATGTGATGGGTGAGCATCTGACATTTAGATAACGTTAAACCTTTGCAACTAGTTGGGTAAACACTGGTTCTAGACATTAACTATATTCCCAGCTTGGACTGCTTCATCCCTTGATATCCATTAGTTTAGCGTCAGTGTCCCATAAGACACCTCTTATTATTAACAAATTGCACAAAAATATAAGAGTTTTCGGAACAAAGGTAAACAGTGGGTCTTGATTTACAGTTGTACGCAATGACAATCTTCCATGCCAGCATTGGAAGTGGCACAAAAAAAGTTACAAAAATTTTGAAGACTTTTCAAAGCAATTAAAATAGAGCTGCTATACAGCAAAGTTCTAATTGAAGTGGTTTTTACTGTGATATCTCTTTTACATCATGATCAGTAACAAAATAGGCTTCATATTTCTCACCTCAAAGCCACAAGAGTTGCCTTGTTCTATCTATAAATCAGGAATGCCACTGGACTTTTGTTAAAAAAAAATAACTGAAAATTTTTTCGAGACTAGATTTAGCATGCTATGAAGCAATAAATGCAACAAAACAAGATATCTCGCAAGCGTGAGACTGAGAGCGCAAGGCTAGGCCTGGCCTGCATTTGAAATCGGACCTAAGCATCCGGTGATCATGTGCATTTTTTGATTCAGCGAGTGTACTTCCGTTGATTAAAAATATGGATCCTCGTGCCACTCTGTCCATATATGGAACAAAACAGAAAATGGGCTTCCCGCCCAACGAGTCTTGTGTGCTTAACGGAGAACGGATCCGATGAACGGAAAACGGAATAGGAATAGACGATGTCCAAAATAACAAAAAAAAAACCAGAGAAAAGGGAAAAACGGCATCCCTGATAAATAAAGTGAGCCACAACCTTCGTTCATCACCGTGCAAAATGCTCCTTGAAACTATTTTTTAAAAAATAAATAAAGAACATCAACACTGTGCGATCAGTATCTGACTGATATCTAAATGGCAAGCTATCCATCACACATAGAAGGACTATGCAAAGGTATCACACATATGCTTTAAGTACATTTACATACCACATATATTACGGACACTGCTTTGCACAGGCCAGTTGCGAAGTACCACTGAAGAATGACAATACTCTTGATTAATTTCATAAATATGTACATATGTCACAAGGTGACCCCAGTCTACTACGTCCACCATAATCACATATTTCTTCTAGTCGGCAAACTAAAACATACAAGTGGACATTGTTGAACTCCAGACTCGTTTGCACATGACACTCAGCACATGGCTCATGCCACACTCGGGAATGCAACTCCGAACTAATCAAAAGCAATGAATTCATTTCAGATCTACGACCTCAAAACAGTTCATCTGTCACTGCAAATTTATCTTCAGAGTCCAGAGACAGCAGATCGTAGAAGAGACACATACATTATTACAAATATATTTATAAGATTGTGAAGACATGCTTCACACTTGTTAACAAGTCCTAAACAAACAGTAGGCCTACTAGTACTATGTCAAAGTCCGTGTTGAAGCAATATCAATCACATAGCCTTATTTAGATTTGTGCTTACAAAAACTCGCAACAGCATTGTTGTGAATTTCAAAATATGCAGATCTAAAACAAATTTGCCCGATGAAAGAAAACGAAGCTGTTTATTTTTTAAAAAGCATCATCTTGTTCTGCAGCTGTTCACTCACATCTTGTGTCACTCAGCTGACCCAGTCTACTGTGCCAACCACAGTGGAACATTAGCATACTGTTACATTAACTCGGCTTTCACTTTCACTTTCAAAGAACACAAACATCCATCTTCATTTTTAAAAAAACAACCCAACCCAAAACAAGCTCTGTTGTCAGCTAGTCATGCAACCCGTAACTTTTTCTTCTTTATATCACAATCCCAGCAAACAACAAACTCATCTCCACTCACAGATCAGGAAATGGTTTATCACCGAGTCGTTAATATCACACTGCTTCTGTGGAGGATCCCCACATCCCAAGTGATCATTTACGCGTAAAAGTAAAAGCTATCTGCCCCCTTCCAGGTCCCCACCAGAACAAACAATGGAGTACGACAATATGACAAACTAGCACACAGCTCACGCGCATTGATTATTTAGTGCATTAGCAGTACAGGATTGTACATTCTACCTTTTTTAAAATCCCGCATTAAAAAAGAAAAACCAACGTATTCTCAAATATTTATACAAGAGGCAAAGCTCTTTTCACTTAAAACTAAAGCACATTTGAGAGCAGGAAAACATCAATCAAACACATTATTTGAACAGGAAAAATATTGAAAGATGTATAATACTTTTAAACACACACATTCACTCACACAAACATACACACACACAAACATAAAAAAACCTAAGACCGTAGGAGAATGGAAATAAAAAAATCAATGCTATGACGGCCCATCTGCAATCTAGAATTTCACACAGCACAGAATTAAGACAATGCCTTCAGTAGCCCAGTCGTTTTACAGAACTTATATGAATGTGACTTTTACACAACATGGCTCTCTCAGTTGATATATCAAGTCTCCACTGGACCACAACTCAAGAACACTTACAATACAGATTCACAAAAAACAGGAAGGAAGAATATCTGCAAAGCAAACTGCATCTTTGATACAACCCCAACACAGGCTGCTGAATTAACAGATATGAGGAAGGAATCAGGTGACAAAATTACTCGAGCAAGAAAAACATAGTAACAGAGAGAAATACAAAAATCAATGCCCTCAATTCAGTGACAAAATAACTAAATTAACCTGAATATAGGAATGTATTGACAGGAAACTTAACAAAAATAAGACAATGTGATAACCCGATAAACATGATGGGGAGAGGGAGACACTTTCTGTCCAATAAATTGATGATACAGTATCACTAGGGTTTACAAGTTGTGAACTAAATCATGATCAAACTCCAATAGATGAAAATGAAGCACATTCTTATTTCATGATGAATGGTTATCTTACACGGGTTCAACAGCACAGCGCTCTTATATCAGTCTGTCTACGTTCAACAGCACAGGGCTCTTGTATCAGTCTGTCTACGTTCAACAGCACAGGGCTCTTGTGTCAGTCTGTCTACGTTCAACAGCACAGGGCTCTTGTGTCAGTCTGTCTACGTTCAACAGCACAGGGCTCTTGTATCAGTCTGTCTACTCTAATTTCGGTGGTTCTTGGTCACACAACACACATTTCAAGGGGCTGCAAAACAAGTAAGTGTCTATCAGCCGAGAAGAAGTACAAGAACTAGAACAAAACAAAACTGTTTCAATCGCCAGAAATTACAGACTTCAAACACTCACGCACTCTGTCGCAACTGTGAATGACAGCATTGCTGATTTTGCGACTGCAGCTTTCAAATCTTGACATCAGCGTGAGCCCTTTTGAATGAGCCAAACAATATTGTATCCGGACAATAATACACACTGAAAGCTCTCAAAATCAATAAACAATATACATGTGTATGTAAAGAATAAAACAATCCACATGAATAGCGACACTCTTTTGAGTTATGGCAGTCAATAAATTACACAAACTATCTACACAGAGAACAGGAGAGAAAAGCGGCTGACAAGGAAAATTATTGCACTGTTTGGGAAATTGGAAAGTTCTGCTCATGCAATTTTAAGACACCACGAATGTGAAAACTACAAAGCCATTTCTAGGACGATTACCTCTAACAATACCAATGCAAAAACAGAATTTTAAAGAATGCTTACAGATACATATTTGCCTCCTCATTCCAAGAATCAATAACAGACACGTTTGCAACTCTACCTAAATACACACATCCAATAGGGTCTACCCCCGAAAAAAAAAGGATGGCATCAAGCCAAAAAGAGAACATCCAGGTTAAAACACTGAGTAAATCAAAAGACTCCTCAATAATATGTCTCAACTAACTACTGCTGAACTATACACGCAGTGTAAGCATTATATCCAAACACGCATGCGTAAAGCACATCATAGCATAATCCACATTTCTCCTTCACATCTTTACAGGTCACAATGTACACTAATGCAGACACCCGCATCACGCCCAGTGGTGCACAACGAGCTCTCTCTCGGGCAGCTGTCGGAACTTCATGGAGCCGTCGACCCCGCAGGAGAACAGGTGGTTCAGGGGGCCCATGGTCACCTGCGCCACACCCGAGGTCGAGCCCACGTTCTTGAAGAACGTCGTCTTGCTGTGCTCTCCGGGGAAGGAGAAGATCAGCTGATGGATCTTCAATCCCCACACCTTGAGAGAAAAAAACCACCAATACAATGACATTTAAAAACAATTTTAACCCCCCCCCTCCCCCCCCGGTTAAGATGCAAGATTAATGGGTAACTGCCCCAATCAACACTGAAAAGTCAGAATAGGTATAAATCTCCAAACTCAATATCAATCTTCAGTACAACTGAGCAAAGTGAATTGAGGATAACATTTGCAAGAATTAATAACAGCAGTTCAGTTTGATCCTGCTTTAGAGGGAGAAATTAAAAATGACAGTTACCAATACGCGGGCAGTATACAGACGCATCTCATAGGCCGTCAAAAATGACTTATGTCTGTATGCAATATTGCCAGCGAATACTTCTTGTACCAGTGATATTAAGTGCCTCTGATCTTGATACACATTAGAAAATTAACACATTAGGACACGGACTGCACAACCAGAGTACAGAGACATACTCAAATCATCACATGCAAAAAAATTACATTTCTAGAACAAGAACATACTGGAGGATAAAAACTGAAACAAACTTTTAAAAACGTATACATCCTAGGAGATATAAACTGCTTTGATAAAAACAAAAAAGTAAGCAACAATCCACATTTCCGTAATGTAAAGAATTTAAAAAACTGAAGAAAAAACAACTTGGCTTTTCTATACCTTGATGTCTCCCTCTGCAGATCCAGTGACAAAGTAGTCCTCATCAGGATCTAGAGACAGACACTTTATAGGGGCATCGTGGGCCTGGAATGTATGCTTGAGAACTCGCTGGCGCAAATCAAATATACCTGGACAAGGGTTAAGGTCAGCTTTCACTTTTTGTCAAAATAATAGTTCACCATTCAGCATACAGGACTGGAACTGTAGGCAGCAGGGAATTTTAATTGTAAAAAATATTCTAATACTTTAAAAACCCTCCATAAATAAGACGATTCTCCAACAAAAAACTCTTGTCCCATACTCTAAAAAATAAAGACAGAAAACACGTTTTCTATTAATATTTTGTAAAAAAAAAAAAAGAAAAAAGGACTACATATATTCTGTCTGCCTCAGCATACTGTTTGAGAAAAAAAAAGGACAGAATCAGCAACCACTAATACAAATTCCTGCTGCTTGTAAAAAGTTGACACCATGTTTTTAAAACTCTAATGGAAAAAAACTTAGGGAGGGTCTCCCTCCTTGATTGAAAATGAAGTTATGCGTGCACCTGTGTTGTATAGGTTTACAAGGCAATGAAGCACACAGCTAACCACAAGAACCACGATTATGTGTGGAACAAATGGAAGATAATAAAAAAAACCCCAACTATTCCAAAAAGATCAGGAAACTGGAACAAAGATCTACAGTGTGGAACCATCGATGGAGAAGAGCACTGGAACCATTAAATGTCTTAATTACAATATCATGGCGGAAGACATTATTTCTAAACAAAAAAATCTATTCATTTCAAATATATAGACAATGTAAAATCCCAACCATGCCCTGCAGTATTTTGTTAAATGAACCATAATAAGTCTAATCATGCAATAAAGAGAGGGAAGCTCCAAAACCTAGTCAGGACATCAAGGATACATATTTCTCCTTTCCTTCCTCCACTGATGAGCAAATGTTGACGTGAGGCATACACAACTGCAGGGCTCCCTTGCTCATGACACTGGAAAGCTGAAACACATACACAAAATGAACAAAGTCAGAAAAACACATCTAAAAACATAAGACACCATTCATGTAATTGAATAATTATGTATACAATACATATATAGCTAAGTGAAAGTACAAAATTGGCTTACAGTGGGCATCGTTTCAGAAGTAAACACAAGTCAGAATCCCTCAAAGCATAAAATGCGTAACTATGGCTATTACTTTTTTTTTTCTATGAAGTTTCTTATCTCTCTGTTCATCTATTATTTCTCACCAACCACAGATTTTGGACTACGAGGTAAGAGAGGAAACCAATCCCTCACAGACAAGACGAGCACCATGTCCCACGTACATTCTAAACTTGACAAAAACGTGGACAGTGCCACTGACTGTAGTGCCTTTAGGCCATTCCCAAAGGGGGGACATTTCTCGTTCAAGCACAGAATTGTAAATTCTGTGGCGTCGGTGGCCTAGTGGTTAGGCTCTCTGACTCGCAACCGTAAGGTCGTGGGTTCGAATCCCGTCAA